CCAGGCCCCCCCCACGGCTGTTTTAAATCTCTTTCTCCCCCCCACCTTGTTCTCAAAATTAGGCTTCTCCTCCTCCTCCTTTTAGTTTAGAGAAGTTTAACTTCTAGGTAACCCAAACTGTTGTGTTCAATTAATTTGCTCTGTGCTTAGATTTCTTTCTTTTTTTTTTCCCCCCCTCCCCCCCCCCCCCAAAGCTAAACCACAAGGAAACGCCAGCCGTGGCCTTCCTGCCCAGGGAGGGTCTCGTGGGGAGAGAGAAAGACGGACAATGTTGTTAAATGCTAGTAAAAAATAACCAGTTCTTCTGTCCTTTTCGCAACGACTCCCGTCTCTCAGTTAGCAGCCGGCATCAGCCGGTGGGCCTGGCAGGGGGGAAGCTGGCTCTGCCCTCGCCAAGGGGGGTGCTGGGACCTGCTTCTACCACAGGGGGGGCCTGCGTTGTCCCAGCACAAAGGGGTGGGGGGATGTCTGAAGGGTCTGCCCCCATTGGGGGCAATTGATGTGCCTGAAGGGGGCCCTCTGCTTCCTTTCTTTCTCTCTCTCTGATCCAGCAGCATCAGAGTCCTTGGAGTGTGTCAAACTTAAGGCCCCGGGGGCCAGATCTGTGCCCCCCCCCCCGGCCTGGAAATAGCAAAGGATTGGCCTGCGGTGCCTCTGCCCTCCTGAGGCTCCATTTTTGTAGCGGGAGGCCGAAAAGGGAGCTCAGGAGCCCATTTTCTTTGGCAGAGCACTGGGGCCACAGCGGCCCCCAACATGAATGACGTCGAGCTGGCCACACCCTCCTCTGCTCCCCCCCCCAGGCCAAACACAACCCAGATGTGGCCCTCAATGAAATTTGAGTTTGAGACCCCTGCCCTGGAGGCGGTTTCTGGAGGCCCAAAGATGGAAGGATGGAACCTACTCTGGGTTGCCGCCCTCCTTGCTCGCTTCAAGCGGCTGGAAATCGCCACGCCTTGAAAGTCTGAACCGGTCAGTCCAGGCCTAAAGTGCACAATGGCTCAGCTGCCTGTGCCCCCCTCTTCCTCCCCCCACCGCTCGGGGGGTCTTGGATGACCGTCTGGTGAGCTCAGCCTGGATTTCCTGTGCCCCCCTCTTCCTCCCCCCACCGCTCGGGGGGTCTTGGATGACCGTCTGGTGAGCTCAGCCTGGATTTCCTGGGCTTGGAAGCAGCGGGACCCCAAGGGTTCTGCTGCTTTCCCACTCCGGGAAGAACCTGTTCTGGGTCCCCTTTTCCCAAAGACGGGAATTGGGCGGCTCTTATTTTCCATTTTCCGATCGCTCCCTCGTTTGGCTGAGCCTCGGGGTGGCGTTTGCCTTCCTCCCCAAAAAGCCCGCTCAGGCCCACCTGGCTGCCTCCGCTCCTCCAGGATGAAGGTAGCCGGGGAGAAGGCTCCTCCCCCCCCCCCCCGCCCCGGTCCCCCCCCCCCCCCCCCCCCCCGAAAGCAGGGGCGGGGCATTTCCCCCCCCGGGCCCCCGCCCCCCCCCCCCCCCCCCCCCCCCGAAACGTTCCTTGACAGTGTCTTCCCTCTCACCCCTCGTCCCCTTAGCCAAAGAGATCTTGAGAAATGACGGAAGGAGCGTTTTCCCCGGCATAGTTTTATTCAAGGAAGGCAAAAATTTATATAAAGCGTCCACTAAGCCTCCTCGAGACACTAACAAGGAGCTGCAATCCAGTCCAGGCTCTTGCTGGCTCTGGGACCAAAATCTCTACTCCGTGCCCATGGTGGGGGGAGGGGCGTTGCCCCCTCCAGCCCGCCCCCGCCCCCCACAGCAGGTGGGTCTGCTGGGCCGGCCCTAGGAGAGGCGCAGGACCGAGTCCGTCTCTGGGTAGGGCGGCAGGTTGAGGGCGTACTTCTTCTGCAGGGCCTCGGGCACAAACCGGCCCCCCAGGAAATGGTAGCGCCCCTGGAAGTGCCGGGCCGCCGCCTTGGGGGCCGTGAGCGAGATCAGCATGTCCGGCTGCAGCCCGCCAGGGTTGCCCTTCTCCACGTCCCAGCCTGGCAACGAGAGGAACGGGGCCGTAAGCGAAAGGCAGGCGTGCCTGCAGGGAGCCAGCCAAGGGCCCCCGCGTATCCCGAGGTGCCAAGGCAGCCTTGCTGTGGCTCTCTGGCTTGGTTAAACTGCAGGGGCCCTACACACACACACACACACACACACGGAGCATCAGCCCTGTTTTCTCCAGATTTCAGGGGGAGGCAAAGCCAGAACAGAAAGGAAAAATGAAACATTCAGACACTTGAGTGAGGTCACCAATAGAGTCAGAAAAATTAAACCCTTCCTTGCTTAATTTTGGGATGAGGTTTATGGACCCCCACTCCTGTGCGGCCCTGGAGCCTCTGGGGAGAAAGGATGCTGGAGGTCAGAACCGGATTCCGTTTTGTGCTTCCAAATTTGTCTAAAACAGGAGTTCCCAACCTCTTGAGTTCATTCACTGTTCGTGAAGCTTCTCGTTGTTCATCAATCCCCAGAGATTCATTACACAGAAATAATAAATACAACCATAACTAATTGCACCATGAATAATAATAACACTGAAGGTTGGATATTGACCACTTTGGAGCGTCCTGCTTTAAAGTCTGCTGATATTACCAATGCCCACTCTGAATAGTTCATCATTCGAAGTATTAGGGCAGGGGGTCCCCAAACTTGGCAACTTTAAGACTTGTGGACTTCGAGTCCCTCAGCCAACTTTGTTGACTTGAAGATCTCTGGGAGTTGAAGTCCACAAGTCTTCAAAGTTGCCAAGTTTGGAGACCTCTGTATTAGAGGGTGGGAAATGAACAGCAGCTATGAAAAAAAAAAATATCAGGCTAATTGTATCCTGACAGGCAGTTTGGTGTTGTGGTGAAGGCACAAGTCCTTGGGCACAAAGCCAGTGGGTGACCTTGAGCCAGCCATTTCCCCTCAGCCCTGGGAAGGAGGCAGTGGCAAACTACTCTGAGCAACCTTTCTCCAGGCAGCCTCAGAATCGGACACAATTGAATGGAAGAAAAAATGTATTTTATCTCTACTTACAAGCCTAGACCCCGTTAAAAGGTAAATTTCTCAGCACTGAGAAATTTATTCCATGGACCTAAATTTTCCAAAATTGCTCTCCAGCAGAATTATTTCTTGGGGGGGGGGCAGAGAAGGCCAGCAGGATGAGGTACAACCTCCCAACAATGAAGCAGCCCAGGCCCACTTGGGCCCAACATACCAGAAGGAATATCGATGCTGACCACAGGGATGGTCACCTTCTCCAAGGTGCCCAGGATGGCCCCAAAAGGCTCCCGCACGGCGCCCTGGAAGCTGAACCCAAAGATGGCATCCACCACCAGACCGTAGGCCTCGTCGATGAGGGCAGCCTGCGGGGGGGATCAGACGGGTGAGGGGTGCAGGTGGAGACCCCACAAGAGGGGCTTCGGTCCAGCCATCCCCAAAACGGGGCTCTCTTTAGAGGGGGGGTTCTCAACCTTGGCACTTGAGGATGGGGGGATTTCAACTCCTCAGATCCCCCCACCAGCCTTAACCAGAAGCTGTGGTGGCGCAGTGGTCAGAATGCAGTACTGAAGGTTAACTCTGCCGACTGCCAGCAGCTTGATTCTCACCGGCCCGAGGTTGACTCGACCTTCCATCCTTCCGAGGTCGGTGAAATGAGGACCCGGAGGGCTGGAAAGCCCTGTGAAGCCGTATATGAGCCTAAGGGCGGTTGCTATGATCCCTGAGACCACCTTGTAGAGCAGCGTTTCTCACCCTTGGCTGCGGGAAGGTGGGTGGACGACCTCCATTTTCTTTCTTTTTGACTTACTTCAGAGGGAAACTCTGTCAGGAACGGGATCTCCATCTTCTTACACTGGGTGGTTAAACCTTCAAAAAGCGGCTTGTTGGGGCGCTTAGGATAATAGAGAGTCGGCTGGTAGCCCTGCAAAGACAAGGGGGTTAATCTGGAATTCCCTGTTTGTCGGGGGGGGGGGGGGTCTGTTGTGTTCCTTGGTGCCTTTTGGGCAGCCACGGTTTGAGAAGACCTTCACAGTGGGCAGGAGGCCAGCAGTCCCAATATTGAGCCTCTGTGGCGCAGTGGTCAGAGTGCAGTACTGCAGGCTCCTTCCGCTGACTGCCAGCTGCCTACAATTTGGCAGTTCAAATCCCACCAGGCTCAAGGTGGACTCAGCCTTCCGTCCTTCCCAGGTGGGTAAGATGAGGATCCAGATGGTTGGGGGCAAGAGGCTGACTCTGTAAACAGAGAAGGCTGCAAAGCACTATAAAGCGGTTTATAAGTCTTATGGCACAAACACTCCAGAGAAGCTCCATGGAGGGAGGTGGCAAACCCCGAGGCTCTCAGCTGCCAGGGGTGGAGGGTGGGAGAGAGAGACGCCTTGTGAGTGTTCCCTACCAGCAGCACTTACAAACACAACCGGGAGGGACAGGTGCAAACAACTCACAAACATTTTCAGATGACGGGCACAAACTAGTCCATCTCCGCCGTTGTTCCCAGGGCCGCACACGATCAGCACTGCTGGCTGGCTGCTGGTGAAGCTGCTGGCTGGGTATGCCTGGGGGGGGGGGGGGGAGAGGTTTGTCCTGAGAATGGCAAGTTTCCCAGGAGACCCACAAACACAAAGCGGGTAGTGGTAAAGAGTCTCCAGATTCCTAATCTAATGAAGAGCAAGGATTCTAGCCCTCATGAACTAACTATCCATAAACTCCTTGAAACAGATAAAACTATACATAAATATAGTTCAAATATAGTCCCTCCCCCAAAAAGGATAGAAAAAGAAAAACCAAGACAGGAAAGATGGTTCTTTGACTTCATCCCATTGGAAATATAACCTGGGCACCTACATACCGTGTTTCTCATATAATAAGGCCGGGTCTTATTTTTTTTTTGAGCCACGAAAAAATGGCTAGGCCGTCTTTTTGGGGGTGACTTAATTCCCCCCCCTTGCATCTTCGGGTGGGTGGCGACGGCTTGGATGTTGACCTCGGTGTTGGTGGGGCACTTCGTATCGGGGTCAACGCAGGCAGCACCATATCCGGGTGAGCAACAAAAGTACTTCCTAATGGCAAGCCCCCCCCACCATTCCCCCCATTTCGCATGTTTTAATATAGGCCTTAATTTGGGGTGAGGGGCTTAATTTCATTTCATGCCTATAAAACATGCTGGGACTTCCTATTGGGGGAGGCCGTATTGTTGGAGAAACAGGGTACATACCCAGGCCGAAAGCTCTCCCATCCCTACGCAGCCCTGTGTGTGCATTCACAGAGAGAAAAACCCTTCACTCTAAAGTGGGTTGAGAGGACAAATGCGAACCTCATGCTTTGCCCAGGAAACTATCTCCTTCCATGGGAAGGAGGCCCAGGGAGGCCAGCATCCCTCCCCTGCTCTGCCTCCCCAGCACGTTGTGCCAACCCAGCTCTGGAAATGGAGCTGCTCAAGACAGCCAGCCGGGCGAAGGGTTTTTTTCCCCTTCCCTGGAGCCGCCTCGGCCTGGGATTCCTACCTTGGCAACGGCCGTGGCGCAGCTGAGGCCCGCCAGCTCCATCAGCTGGTCCACACTGAATCCGTACTCCTGGAAGAGCTCCTGGTCGATGGCCTGGGCTTCCTTCTGCCTGGAGGGGGCAGGAGGAGGGAGGGACTGCTCAGCAGCCCCCCCCCCGGACCGATGGCACGGATTGATCTCCTGGCCCACCACCGTCCCCAAAGGGTCGGCCGGACGGACGCTGAACCCCCTTGGCCTCCCTCCTGGCTGGATTGCTTGCGCCCTTCTCGAAGGGAAGAACGGGAACAGGGAGAAGAGCAGCTGCCAGGGCTGCCCCGCAAGAGGAGCCCGGCGGCGGCTGGTGCTGGAGGCCTCCGTGCCCAGCTGGCCGACCTCCCGTCCCCCCGGGGCCCTGCAAGCTCCGGCTCTTCGGCCTCCACTCTGGCTCAACCCCCCCCCCCCACTTGCAGGCCCGGGGCAGCGGGGCGAAGGCAGCCGCGGAGGGAGCCCCGCACGGAAGGGGCTTCGGCAGACCGCTCGGCTCCCTTGAAGCCCGGCTCTTTCTCGGGGAGGGAAAACGGGGTGGAAAGCGAGGCCACCGGATCGGAGCCCCCCAAGCCCCCCTTGCACGAAGGCAGCCGGGCGCCCCCCCCCCCCCCCCCCCCCCGCACCGCTTCCAACGGAGGGAGACTTGGCCGCCGCCCGGCCCGAAGCCTCCTGGCCTCCCTCCTCCCCGGGGAGCGAGAGCGTCTCCCGCCCGCCGCCGCCGCCTCGCCCGCCTACCCCAGGAACTTCAGGCCCGGCGCGGCGCTCTGCATGGCGCGGGGAGGCGGAGGCCAGAGCCGGGCCGGACAGTGTCCCGCGCCCGCCGCCCTGGACAGGAGCAGCCCGAGTCCCAGCAGAGCAGCCACCCGCCGCGGCCTGGACATGCAGCCTCCTTCCGCAGGCCCCGCCCCGCCCCCGCCCCTCGGGCCCTCGAGCCTCCCCGCTCAGGGACAGTCTACCGCCCAGACCGCGGCTTTGGGCCTCCCCTTCGGCTGCTTAAGCCCCGCTCGGCCGGCCGGGACGCCCCCAGGTCCGCAGCCCCGCGGAAGGGCTGAGCGAGGCCGGCGGGGCGCCTGGAGAGCCCCGCCCACCGGGCAGCCGGGCGCTCGGCCATCTCTCCGCGCTCGGGAGGGGGAAGCGGGCAGGTTGGGCGGGGCTCCGACCGGCCACGCCTCCTGCGGGGAAACTACAGCGCCCAGGAGCCTCCGCGGCCGCCCAGACGAGAGGGCGGGGCGAGGGCGGGCGGGGCGAGGGCGGCGGCGGCTGCGGCGGCGCGGGAGATTCAAACCGCCCGGGCGGAGCGAGCAGGAGCAGCCATGGCGCAGCGCGGCGGGGCTCCCTCCGGCTGTGAGTCTGCGGGCCGAGGGCAGCCGGGCAGGGACGGAGGGAGGGAGACCCCCGGCGGGGCCTCGCCCATCTGACCGCGCAGGGAGGACGCGAAGCGGGCAGCGAGGCGGGAGAGGGGGCCGGGCGGGGGAGGGTCGGCAGGCTGCGGGGCTTGGCTGGCCGGGGGCGCCCCCCTCCCAGGGCGGGCGTGGGGTCGGCCGGGCCCAGGGGGGCTTCAGGCGGGGCTCGGCTGTTGGGAGCAGGGCGGCCTTGGGCCCCAGAGAAAGCGCCGAATGGAGCGGAGGCGTCGAAATCACGTCCTTCCTTCCAGGGGTCTCCAGCCTTGGCCACGTTAAGACTTGTGGACTTCGAATTAGAGTCTAACAAGCAATAATAATAATAATATAATAGGCATAGTTGGTTTATATAATATGAAGTTTAATCTAAACTAGAAGAGAAGGACTGTTGTGCACAAGAGATATGTACCAACTGACACACTGTATATAATGGAAAGATGGTTTTATTTGATGTTTTATGTTTGTATTTGTCAATGTTGTCAAAATAAATTATATTTAATTTATTTAATAAATTATATTTAATATATTTAATTAACACACGCACACACACACAAAAGACTTGTGGACTTCAACTCCCAGAATTCCTCTGCCAGCATAGCCGGGGTAAGGAATTCTGGGAGTTGAAGTCCACAAGTCTTCAAATGGCTAAGGTTGGAGACCCCTGCTTTATTTTATTTTATTTGATGTTTGTTTGATCTTGTGGGGCCCTTGTCCCTGGTTCAGAGCAATGTTTCTCAATCCTGGCAACTTTTAGAGGCGTGGACTTCAATTCCCAGAAATCTCCAGCCAGCCATGTTTGTTTATCTGTTGGCTAGGGAATTCTGGGAGTTGAAGTCCATGTCTCTAAAAAATTGCCCAGGCTGAGAAACACGACTCAGTTGGCAGAGAACAAATAAGCATGTCCTCGAGATAAGCTCAAGGTCTGGAGAAAGCTCAGGTGCAGATTGTTGCGTGCGCTGGTGTGGCTGTTGTATCCATGCAAATATTCTGCATGAAACCGTCCAGAGGCTCCAGACATTTGCTGTGGCATGTTGCATTTGTGATTCCCTTGGCTGTGGCTCACTGACTAAGCCACAAAAGGTTGGATTCACAAACTGCTGGCCTAAAACGCTCCTCCCTCAGTTCAGCAGAGCAGCCGGGTTGCCTCCCCAGAACCGAAAGCGAATTCCAGGACGGGGGGGGGGGGGGGGGATGGGGGGGGGGCATCTTGGGCCCCTTCATTTGGGGGCTGGGAGGCCCAGAAGGACAGTTACTTATTTATTAAATGTATACTCTGCCCACCTCACCAGTGAGGTGCCTGGGCAACTTATAAAATTGGTCGGGGGTCTCGTGGAATTTTGTCTTGGGGGGTGAAATTCTTTCTGGCCCCCCCAGATGAGCGTCTCACGGCGGATGAGATGGACGAGAGACGGCGGCAGAACGTGGCCTACCAGTATCTCTGCCACCTGGAGGAAGCCAAGCGGTGAGACAGTTTTGGGGGGTGGCTGGGTGGGAGAGGAAACCCCCCCCCCAATTCACCTTCACAGGGAAGCCCTTTGTATTTGAAAGACTCCCCCCACCCTACCGAAGATCCCGAGAAGCAGTAACTTCCCTTGCAATATGTGTGATCAATTATGGTGGATTAAAATCGATCCGTGTTCTTGCTAGGCGCCAAGAACAACGTGGAGGCCCTAATTATAATAGGTGATCAGGCTGGAGAGCCGAAAGACCTCAGAGGTCATCCGGACCAACCCCTGTTCCCTGCGGGATTCGCCGGAGCAGTGTTTCTCAACCTTGGCCCCCAGAATTCTGAGATTTGAAGTCCACCTGCCGGTTGAGAAACCCTGCCCGGCCATTCGGCTGTTCCTCATCAGGTTGACTTCCCATGTCTGAACTTGCTGATGTTTTGAAGCAGGTGGACCTGAATGGGGGAGGGGCTGGATGAGCCCAAGTGGGTCTGAATGGGGCCTCCCATCACTGCCCTTCTGAAGAAAGAATGGGGGGGCCTCTTCCAGCCTTATTTCGGGGAAGGGGTGCCGCTGGACGGCCTCCCAGAGACAAGGGACAGGAGGGATGTGGGCGCAGGAGTGAAAAGGTCCACAAGGAAACTGGCCAGAGAGGCTTCCTCCTCCTGCTCCCCCCCCCCCCTTGGCCAGAGGTCTTAGAGGGGCAGCCCCTCGTTTTAAAAGGACAGTGGGTCTTGGGGTAGTTCTGCGCAGTGGACGCCCCTGCCCCAAGTCCCAGGTCAGGCTAGGGGGTCTCCTGAGGGGCTGCTCCGACGGATGCCCTGGGCTGGAGAGGCGTAATAACCCTGCCCCCCCCCCCCCCCCCCCCCAGCTGGATGGAGGCTTGCCTGAAGGAGCCGCTGCCCCCTCCGACAGAGCTGGAGGAGAGTTTGCGCAACGGCGTCACCCTGGCCAAGCTGGCACATTTCTTTGCTCCGGACGCCTTTCCCCTGGGGAAGATCTATGACCGCGACCAGGCCCGCTTCCAGGTGAGGGGCTCAGGGCTGGAGACGGGGGCTTCACGGGGGCTGCCGGTCAGGCAGGGGGTCCCCTCTGGGGCCCAAGAGCTGCTCCCGGGGCCTCTGGAGGCCAGGAATGGGAGGGGAGGTTGGGAAAGGCCGCCCTGCAAGCCCCGAAGCTGGCGGGGAGCCTGGAGTTGGGGCTCCTGCGGGCCACCCGAGTTCGGGTTTGGCTCAGGAGGAGCTTCTGAGACTGTAGGGTGGAGACCCCAAAGGGAGACGGGCAGCTTCTGGTTCTGGTCAGGGTTCAGCCGTTCCTGGGCACAAGGCAGCTGGTCCTTCCCTCCCCCTTCTGCTCATTGAGACAATCGGTGGCTTCTCCCCCAACCTGAAGGCTGGAGAGGTGTTCCTCCCAGCCCAGGACCCCGTCGCTGGAATCCTAGGGCAAGATGGCCTCACAGGGGGACACACACACCCCCCATTCACTTTTCCCATGTCCACCTGACCATCTAGAACAGAGGAGTCCAATCTTGGCAACTTGAAGGCTTGTGGGATTCCAGGGCTTGACGTCTTCAAGTTGCCAAGTTGGACTCCCCTCTTCTAGAAGAAAGACTCTTCCACCTTCCTATTTTGTGGAGGAGGAACTACAGCTTGGGCCTTTCCAAGGCCCAGCAAAGGGGGGGGGGCTGGCCACTGCTGCCAAGCCTTCCTGGAGTGGTCCCCGCCCCCAGCGTCTCGTGATGGGCCTGGGAGAGGTGACCGCCTTCTCTCTTCTTCTCCCTTCCCTCTTGAAGGCCTGCGGCCTCCACTTCCGGCACACGGACAACATCAACCGCTGGCGAGACGCCATGAGCCGCGTCGGGCTGCCTGTGGTGAGGCCCTGAACCCCTCCCACCTTCGTGTCTGGCAGAGGGGCACCTCCGTGCTCTGCCACCCCCCCCCCCGCCCCCGGGCCGGGGGGGGGGCCCCCCCCGTCCCCCCCCCCCCCCCCCCCCCGCTCCCTTGTCCCAGATTTTTCACCCCGAGACCACCGACATCTACGACAAGAAGAACATGCCTCGTGTGGTGTATTGCATCCACGCCTTAAGGTGAGCCTCGCGCCTCCCGCTTGGTGAGCCATCCGTCTTCCCATTCATGTTCGATCCACGCTGAACCCCATCGTTTTTCTCATCCGCTTTCCAGCTTATACCTGTTCAGACGAGGGCTGGCTCCCCAGATTCAGGACCTGTATGGAAAAGTTGACTTTACAGGTAAGACGGGCAGAAGGTGATTCTTTGGCGCCTTTTGACAGAATCCTAGAGTTTGAAGGCAGCTATAAAAAATGCAACCTCTCCCTGCCCTCTGGTTCTCTTCTTTGCGCGGCGCTTCATCTATCTGGCATTTGGACTGTGAATTAGGCTCATTGTGTTGCTGTAGGACAGGCGTGTCCAACCGAGGCAACTTTAAGACATGCGGACTTCCACTCCCAGAGTTCGACTGGGGAATACTGGGAGTTGGTCCACTGGTCTTAAATTGCCCAAGGTTGGACTCTCCTGCTGTAGGAGAACCGATGGGTCTTGTGGAATGAATGAATGAAGAAACTCAGTTTCTTATGGCCCAAGAACCCCCTTTCACCTCCAGGATTCTGCTCATTAAACATTGATCGACGGGGGGGGGGGGTTTGGGGGGGGGGGGAGAATGGCAGCCCAGACCCTCTGGCCTGACCCGGCCCCTGGACCCCTGCCCTTCCCCTCTGCTTTATTCCAGATGAGGAAATAAACCACATGAAAGGGGAGCTGGAGAAATACGGCTTGCAGCTTCCCACCTTCAGCAAAATCGGCGGCATCCTGGCTGAGGAGCTCTCGGTCGACGAAGCAGCCGGTACCGTAGGCGCTGGTCGCTGGTCTGGTCCGTGGGATCTGCCGCTCTCCCCTCCCCACCACGTTAATCCGGCTTCTCCCCTCCAGTGCACGCGGCCATCCTGGCCATCAACAGGGCGGTAGAAGTGGGGATCGTGGCAGAGACCGTGGCAGCTTTGGGCAACCCCAGCGCCATGCTGGTGGGCGTGCAGGAGAGTTTGGGGGCCCCCTACCAGGAAGAGCTCTGCCGGGCCAAAGGAGAGAAGGCCGAGAACGGAAAGAACCGGGTGAGGAAGGTTTCTTCCATCACCCCCCCAAAATGCCCTACCTGTTCTCCCTGCTGAGTCGGGCTCGGTTGATTGCAGAAGGGAACCGACCATTTGCTGGCGGTCCTGGGACACGTGAGCAGCCTCTCCGCGCTCCGGGGTGGGAAACTCTACTCAGGTGCCTTCAGCTCCCATCCCCGGTGATGCAAATGGGAAAGTGCTTGCCAATGTGTAATTAGGGGGTGCAAAGTAGCCTCTGCTTGCAATTTTCCCCCCCTGTCTGGTAAGTTCCAAGTGGGGCAAACACGGGTGGTGGGCTGAATCCCGGCTCCCTCCGGTCAGTTTCTCGTTCTCCTCCTGCGTTTCGTTCCTTCACTTGGAGCTATCCTGGAGGTGGCCCAATGGGGACCGTTTGGCTTTCCCTTTGCTTGTTCTCAGCACCTGCAGAAGATACCAGATGGGGAAGACATCTACGATCGCTGTTTGACCCAAGCTGAAATTCAAGGCAGCATCAATTGGGTGAACAGTGAGTAGACCAGGACGGGGATCGAAACCATATAAATTAGGCTGACTGAGGAATTCTGGGAGTTGAAGTTTATCCATCTTCAACTCACCCAGGCTGAGAAACGCTGGTCCAGACCATGGTTTGGGCTCTTGAAGGCTCTAACCGTGGCTGGCTTTCTTTTCCCATTCTGTTTGGGGAGGACTTGGAGGAACGCTGATTATCACTAGCATTGTCTACGTAGTACGGCTGTAAGAACTATTATTTATCCTTCCTAATTTCATTACTCGTCTCTCTCATTGGAATTATGACTATCCTTATTCTGTTGCTTTGCATGTGCACTGAGAGAAAATTCCTTGTGTGGGTCTGGCCCTTGTTCTGGGTAGTTCTTTTTTCTTTTTTTAATAATTTTTTTTTATTTTTACACTTTAAAAACCACCTTTTTGGCAAGCAGTGTGGTTCCAGGTTTTTACATTTCAATACAAACATGGCCCTAGTTACATATTCATCTTTCTCCTTCCGTTTCATATCACATTATCACTTGTTCTATTTTCCTTCAAATATTCCCAAATATTAAATGCATTACGCTTGTTTTATCCAATTCCAGTTCGCATCTTAGCTTATTTCATTTTTCTTAAAATATTCTCCTCTCTTATTTTACAATATTGTCTAAGATTCTTGCTTCATTTCTATCTTCATTGCACAAATTACTTTTATCTGTCATATTTGCAGTTTTATCTCACACTGCTATTCCATTCATTATTCAGTAAATTTTATCCTTGTTCTAATAATTCAAAAAATCGTCCCCTATTTACCTCATACACTCCTTCAGTGTAGAAGAAATGGGGGCCTTTCCAGCTTCCCTGACCCGAGTGGGGAGGGCCTGGCCATCGATCTGGGGGGTTCTGAGGGGTCCCTGCTAAGCCTGGGCCGCTATCGGCTCGGCTGCTTGCAGAACAGACCTGCCCCTTGTCCTTCCCCGTCTTTGCGTGAGTCCTTTGCGACCCTCTCCTCCCCATCAGCCAGGAGGGCCCTTGAGATGGTGGACGACGCCCTGGAGGCCCAGGACCCCCAGACCTTGTACCACCTTTTGCAAGATCCCATCCTGGCCCTGAAGAGCCTGCGGCGGGAGAACGCCGGCTGGTACCTGGATCAACTGTCCGCTGACCGGGAAGAGAAGGCGCTGGTACGCCAAGGGAAGCAGGGAGGGAGGGGGGGGGCGTTTCCTGGATGACCCTCCTCTTGCATTGGCCTCCTGTGAGAGTGTGAGAAATCAGGAAGAGAAGGGGGATTCTGGGATGGGGGCTGCCTGTGAAATCATGCCCTCCCCCCCCTCAGATACTGCCAAATCCCGTGGGAGCATTTTGTGCACCCCCTGAAGTCATCTCCTCCCTGTCCTGGATTCTTGGACAACCGTTTTGTTGAGTCTCTTGAGTTCTACCTGAATAGCGTATTTTGGGCTAGGAGGCATCCAGGAAACTGGGGGAGGCCCCCCCCCC